TTATTTTTACTAAAGGAGCGTCTCCCTTTGCAGCCGAGTTTTGAGGCAGCATTACCATATTTTCCTGGTAGCTACTGCTATAAAATGTATTCAGGGCATCACTCAGACACTGCATTCTTGTCAGCTCACACTAATGTCCCCTGACATTGCACCTTCTCTTTGTAGACCAACCCACCCTGGTAGAGCAAGTGAAACGAGTAAAGGAAATTGAAGCTATTGAAAGTGACTCCTTTGTTCCACAGACATTCAGATCAAGTAAAGAAGTCAAAAAGGTAAGTTTTCAATATCCTTTCTCCATGCACAATCCTTTCAAAGTCAGGTGGAAGCTGGGCTATTAATACAGTTTTCCTTGATGAAAGAGCATCAATGTTGACAATCCTAAATCCCACCACTGACTCTCCTGTGTTCATGGAGGGCCGTTCAAGGCAGAACACATTGAAATGTGCAAAAATGCCAATGAAATTACCCATTTTGACAGTATATTCTACCCAGGCTGAGCAACCCTGATTTTTAGCAATTATTTTAAAGTCATATAAAACTAAGCAGATTTTCAGGCAGAGCCAAAGAATCAAAATCTGAAAGTAATGAGACATTTACATTGCAGTTAAAGGTAGAGATCAGTCTATTTAATTCTGCTTCACTGAAGCCAGACTTGAAGCCTGTATTTACTCCCTGAAGCAACCCAGCATTGTTTTCAGACAGCTTTCCAAAAGCCTAAGGTGTTACATCCAGGTTCCAGAATTTTACCTGCATTTTGGCTGCCAGGTCTTCTAGGGAAGCCAGATGCTTTTGTCTTTGGAAGTAGTTTTGTCTTCTGAAGCCTTTTCAGAAGTTGATGGGGCTTCTTCAGAAAGTGATGCAGAAACCCAGAGCTCTCTGGGGAGCTCGAGATAAAAAATACTGGGCTGTGTTTCTTTCTCTTCAGTCCACAGAGCTAACCTCTGGAGCAGGAGCTGCTGATGCATCTGCTCCCGAAAAAGAAGCCCCAGCTGCCAACATCCCCACTGCCATCAAATACCAAGATGATAATTCTTTAGCACATCCCAATGTAAGTGTGTTGATATTTATCTTCAGAACAAGAGAGGCCACTGAATGAGAGCAGGCTCATGTCACCATTTTGCTGTGCTGCTCATCAGATACTCTGTGGTGAAGACCACTAATTAATTGGCCAC